AAGTTTCTTTTAATATAAATTAATTACCAGTAATTAGAGTTATAACATAATATCCTATTCTAATTCATTATTAACAGGGTACAATCCATATTTACATTCATGACATCCAAATACATGCAATTCATTGATCATACATACATTTCTATGTTGACCTGTATGTTATTATACACGCGTCATATCATTTCAATTCATATGTCACAACACATATGTCCCAGTAACACCCGTCGATGTACTACAACACACGTATCATAACAACATAAATCGATATGCTACGATACATATATAATAATCATACATATTCTATATCATATCTCATTTATAACACTTTTTATCATAATTTCCCTTGGGATCCCTTGAGGACTTCTAGTATAGATAGCTGCTGGTTGGCCACAATATCACGGATATACGTGTGCCATCCTGGCCTCTTTTAGCAAAGGTATAGTCAAGAGCTTCGTCGGGAGATGAGGGTGTAGCCTGTGAATGTTTATTTTTAATAATTTATTGTGCACCCTTTTCATTGTTAACATTCACCATCCTCATTTCTCTAAGATTTCTAAAATCTTCTCCTTAACTATGTACTCTCAGTGTATCGTTGTACTATCTATACTCATTCTCTTTCTCTTTCTCAACATTTCTCATTTCACATTCTTTATATCAATCAGCATGTTATGATTCATGAGTCACAATTTATATAAATTCATGGATTACAATATATATGATAACACACCATTTTAATGTGCTACAATTTATATCATAATCACTCTGTTTCAAGTTGCGTGGACTCATGCATTATAATCACGCCTCATATTCTTTCTCAATCATATTCTCATTTCTCATTCATACATCACATGATTTCACTTTCATTCAACACTTCATTCATTTCTATAATTCTACTTATATTGCATACATTTCAGTCATCACTTTATACCTACACTTATTGCATCATATCAGTTCAACATATAAAGTGGTCATACAAAGTCATATCACGCAACCAATACAATACATCAAACTTATTACAGAGACTACCACACAATGTCACACCATACATGCAATACAATGCGCCGAAGGTCGGACACCTTCAGACTCAACCCAACTCGTACCATCTCAAGGTAGTCTCCTAACCTATAGTTCATTATTGTATATCTTCTATTACTTAATCCATATACATTCTCTAAGAATCCGATTTCATTTCTTTTAAAGAACTCAAAGTCTTTCTTTTACCCAAAATATTCTTTCACCATAAAATCATAGGTTTTTACTAAAATAGGTTATCCACATCCTTCTAGGGTCGTTAAATATGTATATACAAACTTAAAGCTCAGAAATACTCCCCTTACCTGGTAACGGTTCCTCCCAACTAGTTCTCTGAGTGATCTACGGAGAGATTCCACAGTATCCACGGAGAGATCTTCCAAAAGATAAGATTTCCTAAGTATTTCGAGGTAGAGATCTTAACAAGAGGAGAGAATCGAAGAAAAGGGATAACATAGAGATTTAAGCTCCGAGAAACTTACTTAGATCTGAGAAGAACAGATGTTTGAGCTCAAACTGAAAGAGATCCAGAGTTATTGGAGGTTTTCTCTGAGAAAGGAGAGGGAGAGAACAAAGAGGATGGAGAGGTGATGGATCCACATTTTTATACATCATTTATTACTTTTTATAGAAAAGAATAGACTTAGATAGTGTAAATAAGATGAATATTCCAATTAGGCTAAATGATATATGTTTCTTACTTTTTTGTTAATTTACATGGATTTAGATAGTTTAATTTACATGTTTTGATCATTTGAATAATATGGCAGGAATCCCCAAGCTTATTTTGAAGAATTATTGGATTTTGATGAATTTGAGGTGAAAGTAACTACTTTCAAGATTGATAGTGACTACTACAGCAAACTACTTTCAGCAAAGGGACCAAAGTGATCACTTTCAAAGTTCATAGTGACAACTCCAGAGTGTGCAGAATGCGCGTAGTTACTATGAAAGTTCGTAGTGATCACTCCAGAGAGTGCATAATTAAAGGTGCTGCGCGTAGCTACTATGAAAGTTCATAGTGATCACTCCAAAGAGTGCAAAATTGAAGGTGTTGCGCGTAGCTACTATCAAAGTTCATAGTGATTACTATGCTCGAGAGTGTTCACTATGAAAGAATGAAAGTGATCACTTTAGAGGCATCAACTTTAGTATAAATAGATTTTTACCATTTAGGGTAAATGGAGGAGGAGGAGAGCTTTTACACACTTTAAGATTGCTTACCAATTTAGGAACACTTGGAGAGCCTAGGGTGGCCTTGGGTGACAGCCAAGGGTCCAACCTAGGGTTTGAATTCCATTTCTTCTTCACTTTTCTTTGATTTTCATCTTGATGTTATTGATTTCTCTTTACTTTCATTTTGTAATTATGAGACTCATCCTCATGGAGGGGTAATTTTCTTGTAATCTCTAGTGAGTTCATATGGATTCTTGAATTCCTAGGTTTTGAATGTTAATTTAATTCCTTTTCTTTCATGAATTTCTTCTTCCTAATCTCTTGAATTGAGTTAATTATTGAATGAGGGAGACATTGCTTAATTAACCCTAATTCATTTTAATGAGATTCTAAACTTGAATTGCTTAATTCTTGGTTTATTTCTAAGGTTGCGTAATCTTGGGATGAGATATTGGAGTCCATTGAATCGCTTAATTCGCATGGAAACATAAGATTGATTTTCGCTTGTTAAATTAACCTAATTCTGAGAGGAGAGGAAAAGTATTAAATCTTGAGAGGAATAAGGATAGAGTCTACATGAATGAACTAGGGGTTACTACATTTTCCTTATTGAAGTTTGCAATTTAATTTTCTGCTTAAGTTGATTGAACTTGAAATCACAAACTCCCCTTTTTACTTGCTTTCTAAATACATTGCACACTACATGTTTGATATTTGGTCACTCGTCCAATGATTCATGGGAGACGACCTAGGCTTGCATCCTAGACTACATAAATTTTTCTGCATATTTTGATGGAGGTTGACGACAAATCTTTTTGCAAATGAGAAAATATTTCTTTCATCAAGAGGGATATGTGATTTGGTTGAAAATGAAGATTTTAAGGCGAGAGTTCTTTAAATATCTCTCAAACTCGTGACTTTCTCGCTAAAGAGAGAAATTCTCGCTACAGCGAAAAAATCAGAAGTTTTCTTCCTTTGCTGTCTATCATTCTAGCTACAGCGAGAGCTCCTCGCTACAGCAAGAGATTCTAGCTACAGCGAGAGGGCTCCAGAATGTTCTATTTTCACTGCTTCATTTTCACTACAGCGAAATATCCTATAGTTCACATCAATTAAACACTTCTAATTTTAAATAACATGCACAAATAACTAACATTAATTACAATAATAATAAATTACAAAAATGAGGGTGTTACAAGACCTCTGACCACTATCTTTACTGAGCGACCCGTGACTACTCACGTGGTATCCGTGAGGCAGGGGTAACCGGCGACCATCCATAGTGAAAATTTGTTATCACAGTGCCACCGTGAACGTGGCTGGCGTGCATTGAGTGCGCGGGATTATTGTTTGTTAATTTTGTGTGTGTGTGTAAACTGTTTGATGCCGTGAGTGCATCGGTGCCTGAATTAAATTGAATGGAGTAGTATTGCTGCCTGTGAATATATTTCATGAATTTTGTTAGAAATTATGTAGAATAGATGCAGGGTGGGACTCTATGCTTATTTGTGTGTTTGGTAGTGTAGAGTACTCACTCTTACATTCATTTTTCAAGTAATCAAGATGATCAGTACCGAATTCAGTGAAGGGTTGAATAGAACTGCTATAAGGCTTAGGATACTATTTTGAAAATGTTGTATTGAATATTGTTCTGTAGCAGTTAATTGATATAAACTTGTAACCCTTTTTTTCATTTTGAAATATTTGTGAAATCATGTGATGATAATTTTATTTAAATGAAAATTTTTAATATCCTTATTTTTTTTGCAAAATTTATTATTTAAAAATTAAATTAAAGTGTTATAAGATCAATTATGATGTATATCTGGACAAAGGTATAATTTATCTAAATAGTCTTGTGCTAAAAAAATATAAATGTTATAAAGTATACTCATTCTATCTATCTATCTATCTATCTATCATCTATCTATATATATATATATGATAATATAACATATAGAGAAAAGTAAAAGATACTTTAATATTAAAAATAAAATTGTTATAATTACTCTAGATGAAAGTAATAGATTCTCTTATTTTAAAATAGAGAAAACATGTTTTCTGCATAAACTAAAAATATATAATTATTAAATTTTTTTCTAAGAATATAATAAATAATAGATTGATTATTACAAATTTTATAAATATAAATATAAGTATTTATGAGAAATTTAAAATTTATATAAGGTAATATAGAAAATTTTATAAATGTAAATATAAGTATTTACAAAAGATTTTAAAGTTTATAGAAGATAATAAAAAAAATCCTAAATAACAACTATAACTTTAAAATTTTAAAACAAAATTAATAAAGAAAGATAAAGACAAAAATTAAAACTATTGTAACGAGAATGAGTACAATTTATACGTTATATTTAATTAATTTTAATTTTAAAATGTATATGTAATTAGCTACAAATGAAAGTAGCTTTAAACTTTTTTTTATAATATAAAGATTATTTAAAATTATTTAAAACCTCGTCAACATGGTATATATTTTTAAAATATATATAAAAAAAGAAAATAATTTTACTTAATGTTTCACTAAATTTGGCAGGATAATCCAAGCATTATAAAGTTATTATTTTGTAGTTTGATCAATGATAACTATATTTTATATAAAGTAATTAATAGTATAAAAATAAACCTAACTTATATTAGGATAAGTTGATTCGCTCTCTTTTTGAAAAATTAATAACAATAGTCTTGAATTAAACATAGATAAGACTAAATTAAAAGCTCCTTTGAATATTAGGTATAATTTAATTGAAAAATAATTCTTCTTTTTTAAATTCTATGAAAAATCATAAAATTTAAAAACATAATTATTTGTCTAAAAAAGGGGTTAATCTAAGCCTGCATTTTTATATTAATCTATACAATAAGGGATTGATTGGGGCATACTGTCTCATTCATACTTTCTTGCTGTAGCCAGTATTTTATTTTGTACATGTTTGTTACAAGTGATCAGAAGGCTCATTTCCCCTGCGTTTTTTACATCAACAGTACCGATTTCAGCCTCTGGTGGAGATAAGAAGGTCAACCCTTCAGTTGTAACTAGAATGTCTCTCTGAACTGTACATCAAATGCTTCTATCTGATCATTCGTTGTCTTATGAGATATTGCAGACAACCTTATGATGATGCAACTGTAATCCAATAATTTTCTAAGCATAAACTGTTTGGAGTGCCAATGATCCTTGACCAAATCCATTCTGCCTCCTCTACAAGTTGTAATTCTGCTAACTGCAATAAGTGCTGATGTTAGCTACAATTAATAATAGTTTAGTATACAAATAAATTTTGGTACTACACCACTATACCTTTTCACCATCATTGCTTGTCATAGAGTTGAGTTAGAAACAAACAATTTGAGAAGTTCATTGGCCAAGAGGTGATATTCTATTAGTTCAATTATGTTTTATGGTACAAATTTTCAAATGTTTCCAGCGCTGACAGCAAAGGGGTTAGAAGAAAAAGATTATATAAATTTAAGCTCAATTGAGTTAAGTAGAATATTAATATTTGATAATCCATTCTCAAAGTTTTTCTTCTAAATAATGAATGCTTTTTAATTTTTTTATAGAATGGATTGTGTGGTTTAATTATGATTTTCCGTCAGAAAATTGAAAATCTCAGGGAACTAAGGTTCTTACCCTGCCATCTCTGAGCTCAAATATGACAGAACCTTCAGAAAATGGAATTGGTCTTGTAGATGCCACCTGTGTTGAATAAGATTCAAAGTCAATGCTATGTCATTATTTTTTATTTCAAGGTACAACATATGCCATTTTCAAATAACCAGTAACACTATACTAGTATTACTACCTTTGAGTCACAGTTGAAGTTCAAATCATCATGGTTCTCTTGGTCTTTGTTCAATCCAGATGCACACTTTCCATCAATCTGAACTGCTTTCTCCTCATTGATTCCTCCTTCACTATGTGCCTCAACAATTTTATTTCTCATAGAGGGGAAACCATAATCCTTCCACTTCCATGCATTGTTGTCCATGTATCTCAGGTATACTTTTCCATCTGAACCAATCAAAAGTAGTTGATTGCCTTCAAAGCTAGGACCAGGTGAACCAACCAGTGTTACACCCTTATAGGGTGTCCCATGTTCCACCCAGTTCCATGAATACCATGTATTCCAGTGGTACTCAACAAGGCCACCTTCTCTTGAAAGCATGAAGAGAGAGCCTGAGAGTGATTTTGATGATTGTCTTATAACTGTTCCAGGAAACTGTGATAGAATCAAATGCCGAGACTGGTAATGCTCATGCCACAAATCAGTCACTTTATTATACTGGTATAGGCGACCATTTCTTCCAGTGACAAAGACTATATTTTCCCTGAACAATTCCTGGTCAACTATACTTGCAACTTTAACATTTTGAGGATTTCTGCAATCTTTCCATTTAAACTTCCCCATGTAAACCTGGGTAGAACATGTAAACAGTTACTTCGTATCTTAAGATTTATCCATGTGCGTGTGTTGAATAAAACTTGCTATTCAATTAAATATATATGAATAAGCGAAGTTGATGATGATGATTATGACTTTTATTTGACTACGTTGAATTAATTTGTTGGTGCTAGTTGCTTTCAATTGTAAAGTGATGAACTTTTCAGGAAAGAAAGGTTCTCAAGGGTTCAAAAGGTATTATCCTTTTGCTAGGGACATGGAATCATTCAAGTTCTTTACCTAAACACTTTTTAAAGTTTTCTTATTCCTTCACACTTCCAGCATACATTTATTGAGCCTTGTCACTTGAAGTGTTTAACTATTCTAAGCAATTAAAAAGTAGATAGTTTGCAAGTATACTGTCATCTTGGACTTCTTTTTTCATCTGAGTAATTGTGTTACTGTTTACCTACCATGAACTGCAGTAATCTTCCATTTTTGCTCACAAAGAAGAGTGAATCTTCAGTTGTGACCCTCTTTCCTTTACCTGGTAATCTATCCCATGGTGGACCTCCAATAATGTTTCTTCCTTTCCTCATTGCAGTGCAATTCCTCCATGCTATCTCATTGTCACTCCATTCTCTAAGCAGCAAACTCCCAAATGTATCAACCATGAATAAACTTCCATTATAGTTCCCAACTATACCATTCATAGCTGTGGAGCTATCATGCCTCAACCATACCCATACACTCTCAATACAAATGTATTCAAAAATCAAACCATCATTTGTTATTATGAAAAACGACTTGCCTTCATACATCAACCTTAAGCGAAAGTTACTACTAATCCAATCATCTGGCAGATTGTATTCTTCTGAAGATTTAATCGGTTCACCACCTGTGCCTAGAGATAAGTAATGATTTTGTGCTTGGCTTTGCTTTCTCCTACCTGTTACTGAACTTAGTCCTGAATCCTTTGACTCATCTTTTATTCCTGCCATACAATTCCGGGGGCCACGTTCTTCTGTGCAATATTCTGCATTCCATCCTTCACTCTCTGGCACATCTAATATGGTCCAAACATATTTAGTTGATGCTTTCCTTCGAAAGTTTTGAGGTACAAATGGTCCTGAACTTTCACCACCTAGTCCTACTAAATGTAATTCTGCAAGTCTACCATCATCGAGTGCAAATAGTATCCTCCCAACTTGTAATGGTAAGCCGGTTATACCTCTTGCTGCTTTTGCATGTAAGGGATGCTGATGACTTCCCCATGCTCCTGGAAACTGATTATTTGGAACAGTGCCTGTGTTCATTTGAGAATTCAATGTATAGAATATAGTATTCTAATTGAAAACTCTATAGCCAGTACATGAACGGTTTGAATCATATAGATATTGTATTCTATATCTTATTTCCGTTTTATCACTTTATTGTTTATTCTCCATGTATGGCTTTTAATTTAGAGAAAATATATTCCAAAAACTAGTTGAAGTAGGAAATATGAAGAATAGTGTTACTGATGTTGAAGCAAATAATCTGATTCACAAATAATCTTGTCAGTCTTTCTGCTGAATGTGTATAAGCTACAACAATCTTTCAAGCTCTTGACAGATTATAACAAGGATTTTTGAATAGATAGGGAAAAAATTTAAGAGTTAACTGCTATTTTATTGCTCTTGGTCCTTAATCATTGAACAACTGGAGAGTATATAAACTATGTAAGAGACACAACTAAGATGGAGGAATGGTTACTTAGTAAAAGGAAATACAATCTTCAATTTTCAGCTTTACATTTGCTCGTACTAACTCATGATTTTCAGCATCTCACTCTGGTTCATAAATAACATTTTAGTTCAATAGAAACCTATTCAATTGCCTATCTTAGTTTCTTAGCTACATAAATTATTGGAGAGTATTCTATTGTCATGAGTAAAAGTAATCCATATTCAAGATGTTTCATAAGAAAGAAAAAGAAGGCATGCATGTTAATTGGATGAAGTAATAGAAAAACCCCCGTCCCCTATGACGCTATATTCCCTTCCCTACTATTTCAATCTCTATTCAGGAATCCATTTCTCATAAGACAAGTTTCTGATGGAGGATAGGTTTTGGTGATTGCTATTACATCTTTTGATATATTGATAGATGAATACAACTGAAAATTCCTATAAAGAAGTTCATATGCAGTGAAAGCAAGGTATTGATAATGCATGAAGTCAAATATAATTAGCACAATTAGATGACTGACCTAATTGTTTTGGCCTTTGATATTCAAAAACAGATCCAGCTGAAGTAGTAAAGAATAAAGAAACTAAAGTTTCACTTAATTCATCCTGCAAAGCTGGTGTAATAGATGTCAAAGTTTGATGATGGGGACTTCCATGGACTATCCATTTCCACTTCCTTTGATGTAATCTTCTCTCCACCAAAGTGCCCTCCTGTATAATTATCAAATATTTTTCAAAAAGTGGTGTCCAAGACCAGTTGAAAGAAATCGTAAATGGTCTCATTAATATGAACGTTTTGCCAGATTACACATGCTCATGACTCAAGGGTTTTACCATGATTTTATTTTATATTTGTAATTCTGACAAAAATCTAGTTTCTCCTTTGAAAATTTTCATTGAACTCAACATATCAGTCATCATTTTCACCAATACCTGCCCAACTACTTATATATACTAAGGTAGAAAAACCATGCACTCAATATTCTGACTATTGTAGATATGTTTATAAAATTCTTTGATTTGCAGTACCTTGGTTAAAAGAAACAGAGATTCAGAATGGTCACCACTTAATCCACGTAAAATGCACCCTTTAGATGGTATCAAAGGTGCAGCTTGTGCCGTTTTTTCTTGCCATATGTGCCTCTTCCATGATGGTTTTGATTTTCTATCATATTCATAAAGATCACCAGCAGAACTACATTACCACATCGTCAGTTAAACTTGTTAGACTCCAAAAAGCTGAAGAATATGTTTGACACTCACTTAAGACAGCATGGCCATCTATGAAATTAAAAAAAGAACAACATATTTTAAATATGTTTCATATTGTTTCCTTTGTGTTTTATTTGCTAGTCAACGTGAATCAAGCTACACACACAACACCCACCTTATGGTGTATACTACTTCTCGTGTAAAATCAACAGCAGCTATTGCTGCTAAATTTGCTCCGGTTGGTTGGCCATGATTTGTCCATCTGCTCTATATATGTGTGGCAAAATAGAACCGAAATTAGTAATATTTGCTTAGGATTTAACTTCTTAAGTACAAATACGTGCTCCAAAACTTTAGTTTTTTACCTTGTAGGCTCTTCCCCAGATAGTTCCACCAATGTTCCATTCCTAGTGCAGAAATAAGCTCTCCTGTTGACAATGCAACAACATAACTGATGAATCAAGAGAGCTTGATAGGTTTCAACAGTAATGGAATTCAATTGTATTCTCGAGTTTATATGCATGTTCAATCAGAAGCTAAAATTTAAATGTGTACTCACAGTCTATCATCTGACACCATGCCAGACTTAATTAATATCAAAGAATTTTTCTCTATATCATCTGTGATTTGATTGAGTGTAGGTGAGAATTCAACCCAAACTGGTTGAGAGGTTTCTCCAAGTTGCACATGCATCTGGTACAAAATAATCAATCAACAAGAGTGACAAAGGTATTGTTGCAGTTCCAACAACAACTTGCAGAATACCAGTTCTTATATTCACTTGATTTCAATCACGTGCCAACTTGCCAAGCTATAAGCATGTATCATGTAATATGTATCTAAAACGAATAGTGGATATTCTCAATGAAATTGAATTCACAGAAGTGATATTTATAACCTGATACAGATTTCCTGCTTCAGATAGAGCAAGAATTATTTGATTGATGATAAAAACTGCAACTGCACGTCCTGCTGATATTGGCAGCTCATGAGGGGCTATCACCCATTCTAGTCCATTCCAAAACCTCTCATAGATACACCCACTTTCACCAGTGATCCACACAGATGTCTCAGACATTTTGGTCAAGGAAATCCTCTTTCTCAGAGGCAGAACCACTTCCAAGGTTTCCTCTACTCCTTTTTTATCATCCTTTCTGTTCAGACTTATCTTTTTGTCATCAAATCCATGTTCTTGTTTCAAGCTTTCTTCTTTGCTGTTAACTTTACTACACTTGCTATTACCACTAGATAACAGATCACAAGGCAGTTGCACTTCAACCCATCTTCCATCTATTTCACTGAACTTCCAAAACCTATCAGTTTTCTGTTCAAATCTTCGATTGCTTTGTTGAAAAAACTGATACAAACAGCATGAAGAACAACCCACAACTGTACAACAACTCAAAGACAAGAGTCCCCAGATGCCACATATCAAATGAAACATTGACATGGTGGCATGGGGAGCCTGATGAAAAGGGAGAAGACTGAGCCAGATAAAACAGAAACTCCTAAAATTTAGGATTTGTAGGTTACTCTAAGGACAAGCTTGGTAGGTTTGTGTTGTGCCATATGAGGTAATCCCATATGGGCCATGGATTTAAAGGCTGTAATCATCTGCTCAAAGAGCTAAAATTTATTGGAAAAGTGATTATTTCATGGTCTGTAAAAGGGAGTTTCATTATTTGAGATATGAATATGATGGGCCAGTGATGAAGAGAAGGGTAGGTTTGTGGGGTCTCATATAATAGCAGAAGCTAGTGATTCTCAGATTATAACTGCCTCTTCGATTAGTTGGAGATGGCTTCCTTTTTCTCCAACTTCGAAGTTAAATATTTGATAAAATAAAACCTATCTTCCACACGGCAGTTTAACTACCGTGTTAGTTTATTAATATTTTTCTACATCATAATGGTGAGTTGAGTCCTCATCGGTTCTAAGATGGCTGCTTTATCTGACCAAATTCAGATTAATTTCTATCCATGATTTTAACATTATATTGAAATTTAGGGGATAGATTTTGAAGATTTGCTTGTTGCTTTGTGTTTGTAAAGAAATGTTATTAAGATTCCAGCGTGGACTTTTACTACTAGGAACACAGATTCCACTACCTTGACATAATGTGGCAACTACTTATGAATATCATGATATGTATTAACTGTCATTGGATCATCAGAAACCTACCAACCAATGGCTCTGATATTCTGCAGTGCTTTGACTCCGGGAATAGAAAATCTTACAAGTTTCGTATCAAACGGGTTCATGAGAGCGAGAGATAGATGTATGACCTCACATGCCATTGGTTTTCTTTTGAAGCCATTTACTTATGAAAACGACAAGGAACACATCAGCATTTGGAAGTGGTTGGCCTACGGCTTTTACAAATGTACACAAAGTTCGTCTTGATGATGATCTTGCTCTTAGAAAGAAAAACTAATTTTGCTTACACTTATTCTATGCTCACAGACGAAAAATGATCATAACAGTAACATGATAGTTAGGTATCTATAAATTTGATTTAAAAAGAAAAAATAGTGAAGCCATCGTGAATTGTGTTGGAGTTGCTAGTGCCTCTTGCATACGTAATTCTATGATACTATCATATATGAAATTATGTGTAGGTTTATACAATTGTACACATACAAACACAATAACGTGGAAAATAAAATAGTTGATATAATTGTTCAAGAAAAGCTTGTATAATTTTTAGGAATTTGAGATTCCCACAACTTCCATGGCCCTCACATGTGATCATCATTCATCACTATAGGTCCCCCCTTTCCTTATACAATAAGAAAACGTGCCTAATTATTCAACATGGGCTTCTAAATATGAGGAAGCTGACCTGGCACATTAAACACCTTTGCTTTTCACTATTCTCTTATGTGAAATTGTGAATATATTAATCAATTTAGCAAAAACCAATGGAAGGGTTACACGAGACTTTCTAATAGACCCACTTCTGTAGACTAGCTCGGCATCGTTGATTAGTTGACAATTAGTCCATTTTCAGTTTTGAACTTTTGATAGATCATTAATTATACAGACTGCATGAATAAATGTTTAGCTGCACAGGTCGCTAAAAATAATGTGAGTGACTAAACTGCCATCAATAACATTAGTTTGTACAAGTTGGATGTGACTTTTCTAAATTAAATATATCTTTTGATGAATAAATAAGGATAAATCTACTTTGGATCTAATAAACTAAATGAATATTTTTATCAGTGTCTATTGTCATTTGTAAATGTTTGTTATCATTCCTTTTAAGGGATTTTAATTAAAATACTTTTTCTACTATTTTGTATAAAATAAATAAATTAGAATGATAATAGACATGTTGATGTCACATTAGGCACTTTGAAATTCACTATTTTATTTTTAAAAAAATTAACAAAATAGGAGTTGGGCAATTAACTCCCTTCATTTTTTTCCGTGAAGCTTCCTTAATCGGCACCCTCTCTCTGTATGTTTCTTTCTTTTTTTCTTTCTTTTTTTTCCCTTAGAACACTCCTATCATCATCTTTTTGAGATTTAAAAGAAACTCTTGTAACTCATTTATTTTTTTCTTTAACATAAATAGTTTTGAGTGAATTTTGGGAGTTGATAATGCTATAAAGAGAAATGAGTGTTATTCATTGAAAAGAAAATTTTTATTTGAGTTTTGAAAGCATGCTTGTAACTTAAATACATAAAAATGTTAGATCTTGACAAATTCTTATTTTTAGAGAATGTATATTTTAGAACAATGAGTGGATACAGATCCAGTGCAGTTAACGCAGGAACTGCACGTGCAGTTTCATTTTTGTTTAAGCGAAAATAGACTTGTTTAAGCGAAAATACAGAAAACGATAAAAAAATTTATATAAAATTAGCTTAAGCGAATCATGTTTAGTTTAAGCGAATTTTGAATTTTTTTTTTCTCAATCTTTTTTTTTTTGTTTCTCCTCATGCCTAATATTATCTCCTCAACCTTTATATTTAACATTCTTTAACCTTTATATTCAACCTTCTTCCTTCTCTCATACCTAACTCATTTTTTCCTCTTCCAACTCCCTCTTTCCTTCACCCCATGCCCAACTCCTCTCTTCTTCTTCTTCTCACTCCCTCTCTACCTCATACCTATATCTCTCTTTTTACTCCATCTCAAACTCTCCACCCTCATCTCCCTTCACCACCACCCTTATACCACTCATCTTCTTATCTCTATCTATTCTCAATTCTCTCTACTTCCCATACCTAACTTTCATATCCTTAAATGCACAAAATTTGCTTAAGCTAAACATGATTTGCTTAAGCGAATCTGTAAAATTCGCTTAAGCTAAAAAAAAATTTGCTTAAGCCAATTTTATATAAAAAAAATTTTTGTTTTCTGTATTTTCGCCTAAGCGAGTCTATTTTCGGTTAAGCGAAAATGAAACTGCACTGGATCCGTATCCAACATTGAGTATAGATTTAAAGATTTTATTATTGAAGATAATTTTGAATCTTTGTCAAATATTATTGGTATGCATATTTGTAAATTTGTAATTTTCTCGCAATTTTGGACTAGTCTTGTTAAAAGAGTTAATTAGTCTTTATTATGGATAATAATCACAGTGTCTTATTTTAATTATTCATTATATTATTATTGCTATAAAATTATTTGCTTAAAGAAATAAGTTTTAAATTTACTTTCTATCATATGAAAATGTATTATGACACGTATTTTGTTAAATTATATGGATTTATTTGTAAAGTGTGAACTAAGTAATTATTTTAATTTTATTTGATGGTATTTAATTATGCAATGTGCACAGAAGTTGTTTTTATTATTGAAAAATAAATTTGGTTTGTGTATAAAAATGACCTTCTGCGACATTAACACTTTTGAGAGAAGTTATGTTAGAACTCCATGACCGTTAGTGGAAATATAAGTCTAAGTGCACCAAGTTATACTCTAAGAGGAGAGAGCTACCCATTAAATGAATCTACCAATATACATACAGGGACTATCAATAAGGTGGAGCTGCACCTCCAAGATGAACTACGACATGATATATGTCAAGAGATGACTACTCCTTAGATGGAGCTACCTGTAGGGGAGAGGCCACCCTTGGGAAGATATGACTATCAATGAAGTGGAACTACCTTAAATTTTGAGTCTTATCAACCCTTATAACATTATATAGACATTTACTTTGATAATATTTTAGAAAACTAATAGTATTTAATTCTAGTACTGTATACTTTATTATAATACTCATTATTGAAATGATATTTTTCAACGGTATAAATTTGTATATTTTTTAGCATGAGTCAGATTTTTTGATAGAATTCTTTTAAAATGGTATGTTTTAAGTAAGTTTGATGATTGTGAAAAACTAGTGTAATATTTATTTTCTTTTCTTATTTATTATGGTTATTATGCCTTAATGAGTATGTGTGACTCAATTCCTATTTATTTAATATTCATAAATCATAAGATAGTAAAGTTATAGGTTATTAAGAACATTCATCCATCCCAATAGAATTTCTATTGATAGGTTTCTATTGGTTCGGTAGTTTTAACATTTATTTGTCACGTTTTGAACATTATGCAACTATTAAAGAATTAAAGTTTTATTTTAGATATGTACTAGATGTTCTAATATTAATATTATATGTTGAAGTTTAATTGATTTTAATTAAGTTATAAATTAATTGTGACAAATTATTATATTTTAAAATATTGAAAATACTGAAAAATTCTACCGAAATTTTAATAAATTTATTGTATTATTTTATTAAAATAGTTTATTATCTCATGTGTTAATTTTTATTTACGTTTGACACATTAAGTAATATGTTTAGATAATATAATTTATGCGTCGGTATTTGTGACACGCTGCTTTTGTTTACTAACTTTGAAGACATTCATCATTGCCGTTGATGTTTAAAGCACTCAGCATGCGAAACTGTTTAGGTTAAAGATTGATCAGTATTGTCTTGGGATGGAGGATTTAGACGCATCATATGGAATCTGATGCCCTAAAAGTTGTTCGTCTATTCAAGGATTCATGCACAGATGGAGATGGTGGGCGTTAAATCGTGAAGCCAACAAATTACCTGCTGCCTTCCTAGCATGACTTGGCTCTCATTTGATTTATGACCATATGAATATCTAGGATAGACCCTTCCTAGGTAATTGGTATTGATCTCCTGTTGAAGGCAGATACTATGATTTTTTTTTTTTAAGAATCACTTGACTTGTGTTTTAGTTTTAATCATTTATAGTAAGATTCAGTATATTTACTTCTCTCAATTTCACTAAAAAAAAACCTTACTGATATGCTTGTAACATTGTTAATAGGTCCTATTGATAAATTAACAACAATAATAAACAAAATTTCCTATCGTCTATTAATATAATGTGAGCAAAGTCTTTGACATTGTGAAAATTACAATAATACATGCAACATAAGATTATAATGTTTTAAATACATTTTTTATTCCTATATTTTTACAATATTTTAATTTTATTCTCAAAAAAAAATTATTTTAGTCTCTATTTTTTTAAAATTCAATATTTTTTTATCATTAGTGATAAAAATGACACTGACACCAAAATTAATACATGACAATCTCTTAAATAGTCATATAACCAAAAGTGTTGAATTAAAAAAATTCAGAGATTAAGTCAATTTCTTTTGAAGACTAAAATCAAAACCTTAAAAATATATAAGGACCACAAAATATATTTAAACCTAATATTAATTAAATGTCCATGGATATGCATCTTCATAGTTTTGTACATAATATACATATTATAATAAACAAATATTAGCTTAACTGAGATTTTCTTGTGACACACTAATTTAGGAATAAATGTGGACAACGGAAAAAATCCGTGTCTATTTTCTGAATGTTCTGGGAAAGAGAAAGACGCATGTACTTTGTGAGTCTAGGAATCCAGAAAATACATGTATCTTTTTCTCTTATAATGGATCATCCTCGCCTGTGGACAACAATGTGGACACAAGCTTTTTCTCTCATTCCAGGGCTGGGGAAGGGGAAGGGGTACGTAGGCCTTTTAAATAGCTGGTAAAGTGAATTCAATGAGGTATCAAAAATCAAATATTAATCGAAGTGATTTGGTGCACTGATGTTGAGGATCATAACTCGTGAGTATAACAAATTAAATTTAAAAAACGATAAAGATATCATAGCACAAGGCAACTAATCCAATCAAGAGTTACCATGCAAGAACAAACTGACAATAAAATTTGGTACAATTTTAAAAATAATTGGTATGCTCTGCCTCTTAATTGTGTCATATAAATCATTTTCAAACAGCACAAAAGCACGCCACATCCTTGGAAAGGCTACAATGTTTTAACAGGTACCAGATCATCTCCACAAAGGCATAGCCTTTCAAGAGAATGCTGTTTTAGACTGAGCTTGACTCCCCTGAGATCAAAGGTTCTACTTAACGACAGTCATACTAAATTTAGTGGCTCCTTCATACTGACACCGTTTGAAGAACAATGCAGGAATGACATTCATCATTAGCTTATTGAGTAAACACAAAATTACAAGGAACAGGACAGAACCTGTATATAGCAATTTCTCTTCCACTTAAACAAGGGAAAATAAAATGAAATTCCAGATACTTGCGACATTAATAAGTAACCAACTCAACATCAACGGAATCAAGACCCAAGGAATTAAACTACACTTATTTACACAATAGCGTCTGACCAAATGGAGCACTGCAGAGCACCAGAATATATATTATCTCCAAGATATAAACTATGGGAAATAGGTATTTGCCAGATGCCACTTTAACAGTATTACATTTACTGCTATTCTAGCTTCCAAGCAGCAAACATGATTTGCATAATAAGTCAAAAAGTATTAATATGTCCAGCGTTTTTACCACTCTTCACATTAAATAGAAGATCAATAGATCACAAAATTTGAATTGAATTTGTTCCAGTAGGAGAAAAATTCCATTGAATAACATGGTTCCTGGCATGAATTCCTCAATAAATAGTCAGAAATAAAATAACTCGATAAAAATAGAAGAGTAGAAAAATTGAATATCAGGATTGCGAGGAGTAAAAGAAACCATTTTATAAGCTTGGATGATCTGAATGGTCATAAAAAACAATTCAAAGGCCTATTTTAGGTTCCGGCCAAAATAACAACAAAAATAATCTGCTTTTTGTGTCTGATTGCTGGTAGATCACTAACTGATTCATTGGATGATCATCATATTCCCTCCTTCAAAGATGCAAGCTTTTGTTTCGACAATATGTATATTATCAACACATAAGGTCTGATTCAAGGATTGATATTAAGTAAAGTGGATAAGAAATTTTCTTTAACCATGCACCAAAGAGATTGGAAGGATAAATGTATTGTGATTGAAATCAATGCATAGTAGTTAGGAAGAGGAAATAAGACTTTCCTTTTTGAAATCCTGGCCACTATAGTTGGAAAAGAATGTTTTTATATGCTTCGTCATATAAAGCTAAACAGTATTTTAAGTAGCCAACAATATAACCATTTCTACAAGAGAAATATATGTACAGAAGAATTTCCTGAACTCTTACCAATCAGCTTTTCATCATTTTACGAAGAAAATCAAAACTGTACAGCAAAAAAAGTATATTCTTTCTCTATCGATCCCTTGTCTTCTTTATTCTGTTTACTAGAGATTCTATTGATGCTTGGATTCTACTTCCTTCAGTTTGCATCACTGCTTGAGATGCCTCACGAAGATGTTGAATCCCACGGCCCAAACTGGCAATTGAGGGGGCTGCAGGGAGTGACTCAACAGCACACTCAATCCCATCCCCATACAAAAGCAAGCCTGTACAAGTTCCAACACTGCCTGCAAATGTAGCCCAAGGCAAGAACCCAATAGGCTTCACTTTTCTCTTCCTCATTATTTCATAGAAAGCTGTTCTCATAACTGAAATACTGGTTTTTTCAGCAGAGGCTATAACACTATGGGCAACAGCTCGAATCTTTTCAGCAGATACTGCTGCCTTCATGACACCAGACGTTTTGACTCCAGAAGTTGCAATCCCTGGAGCCACAACTTTAGATTGGCCAAAGGCAAAAGCCAGTACTTTCTGCATCTGGCTGAGTCCGATTTTGAGTGAAGCAGGAGTTTTGAATGTAACAACCTTCATCAGCGTCGATGCAGGGACTACTTTGGTCAGGGATGAAGCTCCTAAAACTGCTGTTGCTCCAGCCCCTACTGCCACCACAGGGTTATCTGTTAATAACCGCTTCTTGTCACTATAATTTAACATAACCCCTTTACCCTCGGAATTTGTGATCAGTTGTCCAACCAGCTCCTTGACTTCAAGAGGAAGAGGAGTATCCCAGTGTTTCCTAAGACCAGCCAAGGCACTAGCATCTACTACAGCCACAATGGTCTTATACTTATCAGTCTGGCTACGAATTGCCTGTGCAAAGAGCACATGTGATTTGTCATCGACCGAAAGCTCAGCGAACTCAATTTTATCTGAGTTAGCAACACTCTTCCTGTCAATTGGTCGTAACGCCTTATTATTTAGAGCTATTCTAAGCCCCTCAACAGCAATTCGGAAAGTATAGACCTCAGAAACAGTTCTCTTGTCTAGAACCTCCCCTCTGTTTACATCCAACAGCATCTTTTGCACATGAGCTAGCGCCTTCCCAATAGTCGGAAGATCACCGAATATACTATGCAAGTCCTCAAGCAAAGGGTAAATAGACCTAGCAAAAGCCGGGGTCTCATAACTAGTCGATGGCTGAATTTCCACGGAACCCCCCTCCAAAACAGAACCATTCTTGGCATTACTAAGCAAGAGGGGATCCAGATAGCCAGATAACGCTTTTGTCAACAGCGACCGGAGTTCTTTGTCAAGAGAAAACCTCTTCAAAGCAACAGGAGCCAAAGAAGCAGCTTGGTGCTGCTGAGGAACCAAACTACTAACAAGACTCTGAAAATGGCTTCCCTTATCAACAACACCACCAGAATTGTTATCACTATTATTACCCCAACAACACTTTCCCAACGGAGACTCAACCACAAGAAACGACGATCCAACATCCTCAGCAGCCTTCTTAGCAGCCAACAAGGGACCATGAAAACTGGTCCCAAAAATCTCCCTTAACACAAAGTTACCTGCAACATTCTCATACTTATCCCTACCAATCTTATCAAAGAAACAACGCTTAAGAACCCCAAAAGAAGAAGTGGGTAACGGGTTATCAAACTCAGTAACCCGTTCTTGTTCTTCCTCTTCTTCGGATTGAATCTGAGAAAAGGGGGAAAAACTCGCCTGAACCAAAACGGCGTCGGGTCTAATCTCTCTGATGAGACACTGGGCATCGGAGACTGATCGTTCAGACAAATTCAAAGCAGAGAGAATGTAAATAAGTGATTGGGTTTGGGAATCACGAACTGCGAATACGAATTGTTTAGTGTGATCGGGTACAAGCAATTTGTTAACCAATTGCTTCGAAGCTCTGAGTTGGTCGGGTTTGAGAGCTGAGAAAGGCCACAGGTTTTGCAGATTCCACAACAACGCAATCGCCATTGCGGATTCTCCAAGCGCAACAGAAGAAACTACCAAGGGTGGATTTGAGAATTGAGATACTTACCGTGTGACGAGATGAGAAGAATGGGGATTCAGTTTACGCGCCGAAGGATCAGGAAAATTCAGCATCCAAGCGCAACTCAATGCAATGCAATGGACTAATGTACTGTCAAGAGAATGCAATGGACTAAATTTGTATGACAAAAAATTAAGTTATTAAATAGTTTAAAAAATATGTGAAATATTCAAATACTCTTTTTTTTATTTTTAAAAAACCTCCCTTTTAATTACATCACGTTATTAACAAAAATTGTTAAAAATAATTAATATATTATTTTTTAAAAATAATAAATATTTTAAAATTTTGTAAATAAATTTATATCAAAGACTAATTAAAATATATTTTAAAAATCATAAAAAAGACGAAAAAAATTATTTTATTAAAAATACATCCATTTTGTTTGTTATCTCTTTTTCACTTTCACCTTAATTATATCTTTCATTCTTTTCCATATTAATATTCGTATAATTAGGTGTATAAATGAGTCAAGTCAAAGTGAGTATTTAAAGCTCAAATTTAATTTATGAAAAAAAAAATTTAAACTTGTTTTATTTATTTAAATGAGTAAAATTTAAAGTTTGAACTTGTTTTGAATTTTTTTACAAGTTTTGAATACTTTTTTTTAATTAATTTAATATTTAATAATACTTTGTGTTAAAAAGTAAAGTAAAATAGTAATAAAATATAACTTTTAAAAAATAATTTTATATACACAAAGATGACTTAAAATTAAAATTAGTTTTTATTATAAAATATATATTTTTTAAATTATGATCACTTATTTAAAATATAATTCTTGAAAATTAAAATTAGGTAAATAATATACACACAATTATAATAATAAAAGTATAAATTTCAAGTAAACATAATAAATAAAAATATAATTGTTTAAGTATACATATATTTATGAAGTATCCACCAACGTGAAAAACTTGTAAAAATTGAACATGACTCTTTTAAATAAGATGTGATTGAGTTTGTTTATTTAATTAAATAAATGAGCTCAACTAAACATTTAACAAGTTTACCTTGAATCATTTACAAATAGCTCAAATGATTTCTACCTTAAATATAACTATTATTATTAGAACATGGAGAATAGTTTAACTTTGCTTTATTAAAGATTAAGGATAAATTTAAAATACATAAATCTGTGATACTTTATGCATATTTTAAAGTGACTAATATAAAATAACAACAAAAATTTTAGCATGTGTATTAAAAAAATTATGAAAATATTTAATGTATTTAACATATTTTTTTACTGTAAAATTAAAAAAAAATACTAAAATAGACTCTATTGCAATTTTATTACAGGAATATACCTTATTTTTTTGCTATCTAAAATTTGATTTTCTGAGAACTGAATTCTGAGTTAGTTTTTTTTTAATATATATAATAAAATAAATATTATTATTTAAATTATATTTATATATTTTTATCTTTTTATCTTTTTATTTTGTTAAAATAAATATTTATAATATGTTATTTTAATAAATATTTATAAATATTTTATTAGTTATATATAATAAAATAAGTTTTATTATTTGAATTATGATTTATTTTTATATTATTTAAAAATAAATAAAAATAGTAATAATATTAATTTAAAATGTTTATTAAAATTTATTTGACATATTTAAGATAATAAATAATATTTTTAGAAAACAATAATAACTAAATTTTAAAAAAATAATTAAATAATAAGTAAATTATTTTAGTTAATTTTTAAAAACTATTTAAAATATTTAAATAATAAGTATATTATTTTAGATAATAATATTAATGTTTTTATTTAAACTTAAAGAATATTAAATATATTTTTTAAAATTAAAAAAATATATTAAATATTATTTTGTTTATTTATTTATTTAAATATGTAATTTTGACTTAATATTTTTAAATATTAGTATGATAAAATGATATTTTAAATAAAAATTTTATTTTAATTAAATTATTTTTTAAAAAATGTCATTATTTAATATTATAATTTTTAATATCATAAACCCTAAAATTTTACTATTATAATTTTGAATAAATTTTATTTGAGAATAAAAAATTTATTTTTAAAAAGTAAGTAAAATATTAAATTATAATTTAATTATTTATAGTTGAGATAAATATTTTAAAATTAACGTTTTCATATTATTAAGGTAACATTGATAAAGACAAAGTACATTAATAAAGATGATAACAAATTCATAACAACATTAATAATTAACTATCTCTGTAATAGTGGCCAGTTCCACAACGAAGGCGACGTCTGTGACGTGGTGGGTTTCGTCGTTGTGGTTGTTGCTCTGAGATTTCAGGATGAACTTGTGGAGGATTTGGATCATCATGAAGGTCTAGTTGTTGTGATGCATTTGATGAATTACTAGGTTCATTAGTAAAATTCGGTTGGTAAAGAGACTACATGTAAGTTTGTGCTAAAGATGGAGTTGTAAAATCAACTCCAAATAAGTTTGTAAAAACAATCCTCCGATGTTGTTGGAAACGAATGTCTTGTGTTAATTATATTTGCTTCTAGTGTAATGTTCAGCGGAATTGATGCAGTCTCGTGGTATGATGGTGTGGAAGTCGTACCCATTTCAAATGTGTTGGTAGCCTTAGTTATTGGTCGCTCGTCCTTGGATCTTGTAGTAGTTGTGGCACAGATAGGAAATAGATAGAATTAGCAATGTACTATTCCATGTATTCTTGTGTGTGACACAATGGGCCTTGTATTAGATGACATGTTATTGTCAGCTCACGTTTGTTGTTTCATATCTCGATCCATTAAGCATGTCTTGTAACCCAATTTTCATTCTGTCTTCCTCTCATGTCAATTTTGTGGAGGTCATTCAAATTATTCGGTGGAAAAGGAACTTCTTGGATTAGATGAAACTGTAATTTGACTCTATCTGTTTGGTGTCATTTAACAATTGCAAAACAAAAGATGGCGGTACATGAAGTCCACAGTTGGACATCTCTATATGCTTCCATGGGTATTGATGTCTGCAAGTCTTGATATGATGCCCATAAAAACTATAAATATGTTTAACTTTGTTACTTAAGATGATGTATAAAAGATACGAAAATAAATATGAAGAGTTACCTTATTAGCTTGAATGTGATCAAACATTGATATGTACCCCACAACATCATTGTGAGGTTTATTTCAAAAGTTTAGTACTCTACTCTCATTCTATCTGCACACGAGTGTATGTTGGTGGATTACTAGAAATTGGCGCAATATATGGCATGCGATACCATGTCTAGGATATTAACAGTGATGAGCAACCACCTATTATTTTACTACCAACTTTCGTGGCTCTGCACATTTCCCTGTACAACATAGCTAAACAAGCAGAACTCCAACTATATCATCTTGTTCTTCTAAGATTAGTTAATAAAGCTAAATACATAAAATGTACTTTGTTTCCTGTTTTGTCAGGCATCAAAACACTTCCAATTAAACCTAGTATATAAGCCCTACAATGGGCGTGAACTTCTTCTTCAAGTGATTCTTCTGGTAATGGCAACATGTTGTCTCTCAATCACTTTAGTTTTAGCATAGAGCCAATAAGTGACTCTCTCTTGACTAACACGATACTGAAATATGTGTCACACATTTCCTCCCAGTCAAACATTGTTGAACCAATGACCGGTAAACCATCAACTCTTAGCCCAAGTTGAAGTGCAACATCCTCCAAGGTTATGGTGCACTCCCCTATTGGAAAATGAAATGTGAGTTTCAAGTCTCCACCTCTCGATCAAAGCTGTTATCAATGCGTGATCCACTTTAAGATGCCTTAGCTTTGCTACCCCAACAAAACCAAGTTGTTCAAGTATAGGAACAATTAGAGGACTGGGTTCTGCCATTGAATGACAGAAAGATGAAATCATGTTTTCAGTTTTCTGCAATTATTAATAAATTAGTAACATTATATGTAGAATATTGATTTACATATTCAGTTAACTTACCGTTCTTCCAATGAAGGCGGATCTGTGTCCTTGATCGTGAAATGGTAGTGTATTAGCCTGACACACTATTTGTTGGCCAACGCTTCCCAACAAAAGAACAAGTCCAAGACGCCATAAATATATTTCACATTGTCAATCATTACACTTACAAGGTGAAAATGTCAAACACTAGGCTTGTCGTCAAATGTGTTCACAACGACTGTGCCTGGAGATGTCGTGCTATATTACACACCAAAGAACAACACTGAAAAATAATGAAGCTTGAAGAGTGCCACACATGTGTTTCTCTAATCATTTCACAGGATCACAACAAGTTGGGATCACGAATGATTTCTCAAACCATTCGTGAAATTATCGAGACTGATCCATCCACACACATCGCAACCATCTTAGCCCACATGGTTATACAATCAGGGATGGTTGGAGAAACAACATGCCATTAAAAATATCTTCAAAAATTGGGAGGACTCATACCATAAGTTACCTAGACAGTTGCTTGCAATGCAATTGTATGTTCCAGACTTCATATGGAAATTGAGTACACAATCGGCATACAACGGTGGCTTGCTTGACGAGGGAATGTGTTCTTCAAGAGGTTGTTTTGGACCTTCAAGGCATGCATTGATGGTTTTGCCTTCTGCAAACCAATTGTTCAAGTGGATGAAACATTTTTTACTGGCAAATACAAAGGGACTTTATTAGTGACAGTTACACAAGACGACTGCAACAATATAATTCTCATTGCCTTTGCTGTGGTTGAAGGTGAAACTAGCGATGCATGGTTCTTTTTTTTGAAAAACTTAAGGAGGTACGTAACCTCGCAAGAGGGGTTGTGCCTTATTTCGGATCATTACGAGGCCATAAAAAGTGCATACTTCAGAAATGGAAGTGGTTGGACAAAAAACAATTCTGTCCATGTCTATTGCATTAGACACATTGCACAAAACTTCATGCGACGATTCAAAAATGCTGCACTGAAGAAAGATGTCGTCAATATGAGTAATTTTAATTTTTTACATACTCTATATTATCATTAATATTTTATACAATTGCTTAGCTAGTTATATTAATTTAATTTGTAATCTTGTTTCCAGTATATGGGATGACTGAACTGAGATTCTTTTACTATTACAACATAGTAAAAGATAATAATTCTGAAGCTACACAATAGTTGGACAACATCCCAAGGAAAAATGGACACTGGCATGAGACAGCGGACGACGCTGGAGACACATGACAACAAACCTAGGGGAGTCAATCAATTCAGTCTTGAAGAAAACTAGAAACTTATCAATTTGTTCTATGGTCATGACAACATACACTCGTTATAATAAGTTATTCATTGATAGAAGTAAGGAAGTAGATGCAATGATTTATGCTGGACATATATACTCGGAGGTTGCAACTAAAGCAATTTAAGATGCATAGTCAAAGGCGAACACTCATAGAGTCATAATCTTTGACAGAACAAACACTAGATTTTTAGTTGAAGAAACACAACATACGGCAGAAATTTGACCCGTAGAAAGATTTACAGTATAGTTAGATGAAATGTGGTGTGATTGTGACAAATTTCAAGAAGTTCACATCCCATGCTCGCATGTACTTGCTTCATGATTACACACATACCACAACTTTGACATCTCCATATCTCCTGTGTATACCTTACAACAAATTTCTAGGATATACAAAGGTCAATTTGGAGAACTCAGACACGAAGACTATTGACCAACTTACACGGGTCCAACTTTGTGTCCAAATCCAGAACTGAAAAGAACTTCAAAGGGTCGACCCAAATCTAGTAGGATAAGAACAGATATGGACATTAGAGAACAACAAAGTCAGGTAAAAAATTGTTCTTATTGTCATACCCCTAGTCACACAAGGAAGACATGTCCAAACATCGCTCAAGCTTCTAGTTCCCGCCATTGATTTATGTTTTTGTTATTATTTTAAAAAATTTTAATGTCATTTTTAATTTTATGAATATCATTACAACTTTTAAATTTTTAGTATTTGTAATTTATATTAAATATATAATTATATATATAATATATCTACATAATATTATTTAATTATATTTATTAATATTAATAACATATTTTTTAAATAAATAATTATGTATAAATTTTAATAAATACTAATATATTAAAATAAATAAATAAACTAGTTATTATTTAATACTTTATTTATTTTATAAATATATAATATTAAATAACCAAAAATATAATTTTAGAATATAATATTAATATCATTTTTAAAAATAATTTTATATTAAATAATATAATAATAAAAATAAAAATATTATTTATTATCTCAAATATGTCAAATAAATTTTAATAAATATTTAAAATTAATATTTTTACTATTTTTATTTATTTTTAAATAATATAAAAATAAAAACATAATTCAAATAATAAAACTTATTTTATTATATATAACTAATAAAATATTTATAAATATTTATTAGAATAACATATTATAATATTTATTTTAACAAAATAAAAATATATAAATATAATTTAAATAATAATATTTATTTTATTATATATATAAAATAAATATTAACTCGGAAGGATAGCAAAAAAAATAAGGTCTATTCTTGTAATAAAATTGCAATAGGGTCTATTTCAATAGTTTTATTTTATTTTTTTTGTAATTTTACGGTAAAAAAACTCGACAAATTAATTACCGATTAATACACAAATCCTTTTAAAATATAAAATATTTGTGATTTCCTAAAAAAAAAATTATGTAATAATTTAAAGTACATCTATCCTAAACATAATGATTATACATCTGAGGCACGAAAGGTCGTGTGCACAAAGTTTATATAAAATTTTCTCTATCGGAACAAGAAGAAAAAGAATACATTCAATGTTTATCAACTTAGCCCTATGAATCATTTCTCTCACTTCAACGAAAAAGTCAAGCAACACACTAATATATATCTCTGCCTCGACATATTCAAGATTCGAACCTTCAATGAGAATTGAGGCTTGGTTCAAGTTTTTAAAAATATCAGTAAAAAAACTAAATATATTGGAATGCCAATAGCCTGGTCCAAGAAAGAATAGCCTGCCCCATTAGTCGTATTACCAAAACGATGGTTATGTTTAGTTAACCAAATTATTCTTAAGAATAAATCCAAACGTTAAAATGAAATTGGTAAACATATTTTAAATATAAATATAAGGAAGAATGTTTGCAACATACTTTCTAATACATTTTTCACGTTGGTTAAAATTTATTTAAAAAAATATGTAAGAGAAATATTAATTCAAAAATGAAAAAGTGTGTTAGCCAATTAGTTTTAAATAAATTTTAACCAATAGTAAAAAGTGTATTAGCTAATTAGTTTTCATATTTGAAGGTAGCAAGATTTCAACAACAGTAGAAGTAACCTTAAAAAGTTGGAAATTAAATTTAGATGTAAATGGTTTTTGAAAACTTGTACCACCAAACATGAAAACAAACACCCCCATGTAAAGAAACAGTCATTCAACCAAACGCCCATATTACACTGTTGCGGGAATAATCTACACTATAAAATTTGGCTTTCTAATCACCTTAAGATACAACATTTTGACCATGCTAAATGTTTTAGTCTTTACAACACTGTTAAGGAATAGACAAACTTGGGATGCAGTTACCTATATAAGCTGATCATGCAACCTCTCATACCTACGTACTCTGATCAGGTGTTGGCCCTTTAATGTAGGCTGTCAACTACTGAAAAAGCCAGGTCCAGCTCGAGAAAGAAGCTCCTCCCCAGCATCTTTACCCATCTTCATCATATCTTCAACAGCATATGGACCAATTCTGGAAGTTTCAAGAACTGCATAAACGGAATTACACAGGCTTAAAAAATGGTAACTTTTGAAGGTTTAGAGAGTAAACTAGAAGTCTCATATAGTTATGAAGATGTTAGTACCACATGTTCCATCAGGGGAAGCAACTAATCCTCTAAACAAGCAATTGCCATCCTCGTTTCTGTAAGCATACCCTGCAATAGGAGTGCGGCAAGATCCATCCAGAGTTTCAAGGAAGGCTCTTTCACAGGAAACTGCTAGTCTTGTTTCTTCATGATTCAGTGAGGCAATGTATTCTGCCTGCACAAATCAGCCAACCACATGTAGAGAAACTAAATTATGTAACTGTATCAAGTACAAAATCCTTCTACTTGAAATAATTCATATAGAATATTCTCTCACTAAAAATTCTCGTATTTTGGGAGAAGGATTATTGTATGTTTGAGCAGGATTTATTATGACATCATGATATCAATCTAACATTTTAATATTCAAAGCTTCCACTCCGTCTTTTCCTCCTCCCCAACAACACCATAATTTCAATAATAACATCACATACAAAATCCATCACTTATCATCTTTATAACAGCTACCTTGAGCTATTCCCTAGCATTTTCTAAGTCTTAACCAGCTAGCTGGAACACCCTTCATTACCAATTAGAGATAGATCTACATCTACAAGCCAATTCATCCTAGTTATTGGCCAGGCAGTATCATATTTTCTTTTTTTCAAGCTTATACTATTTGATGAAGACCTAAGTTTTTCATCCCCTCCATAGCTTCTCACTTGTTTGACAGCAGCCAAAACCCATACATGTAACCTGAAGGCCTGATACTACGGCTTATAGAATATGATTGCACGTTAACCAACCATCATCATCAAACATCTTTTCAAAATGTCCAAGGGGCAAGATCATGCAATGTAGTTAAATACTCACCATTTTATTATCATTACTTCTACAGGCTATTCCAATTGCACCTTGGGCAACAGCTGGAAGCATATCATCAATGGATAGGATTGAAGTCACATTTTCTGTCATATTTAATCGTTTGAGTCCAGCTAATGCCAATAAGGTAGCTTGGACAATGCCGTCACTGAGTTTCCTTAGCCTTGTTTGCACATTTCCACGGAAATTTTCCTCCACCTGAGATTAAAATTATAGGTTAAATAAAATTCCACCAGTGGTCCAGAAAACTAAAATGTCACTAATGAATTAATGCAAAAACAAAATGACGACACCAACAGAAAGAGGAAATGTCCAAGAAACACAAAAACATTAATACAGATGCAAGTCATATTAGAAGGCTAGACTTTTAAGAAGATGACATACGTAATGCCCATTATCCTAGAGTAAGACACTTAATTATGACATTATCTATTACCTTACACTCATTGCCATTATCCATGCCGTTAGAGGTAGTACGGGTATACTAACTAATGTCGGCTCTCTGCTGAATCATACGACATATAATTGTGATTTTATTGAGTGCTTTGAACATAATTGAAGTGTTAAGAAGAAATTGGAAATCCCTCTAACTCACTCACTCTCCAATCACAAGGAAATCGGAAAGGAACACAATACTGAATTTCATTCATAATAATCAAATGATTACAGAAGGGTCTTTTAATAATCTCCAATCCCTTACAACTACTTTTCCGCCATACGACTAACTCCCTTGACACGCTAATTAATCGTTAAAACGGTTATTTTCTATTCTTGCTTCCCTATTTCTGAAATATTACAATTAAATCCTCTATTTTTCTACTTATAACAATTGTCCCACTCATCAAGTATGGCCTTGACCTCAAGGCCATGTATGATCAAGCTGTCCATGGAAAGTCTGGATATTTCTCCTGCATGTTGTGCAACTCCTGCCCTATAACATCTTTTGGATTCGTTTCTGACTATTGCACTAGTACTTTAGTGATTGCTCTATTGCCCTTCTTCATTCTTCTATCCAACACCACTAGAGGTCGAACTTGCAATTCTCCATCTGCATCAAATAAAGGTAATTGTGCTGATGTATTTTTGTTCCTTAGGGCAGCTCCAATTTATATCCCACCTTGCCAATTTGTTCAATAATTTTAAAAGGGCCATAGTATCTTGCAGCGAGTTTATGAAATTGAGTATTTGCTAATGTGTGCTGTCTGTATGGTTGAATTTTGAGGTAGACCATGTCACCACATTGGAACTTTGTCTGTTCTCTTCAAATCAGCATACCATTTCATTTTCTCATATACTTTATGTAGATTTTCCTGCAATGTCTTGCTTATTTGCTCTCTTGTTTTGATTGTATATTCCACAGCTTCTACTAGATATTCTCCATTTGCCACTATAGTAGGTGTGGAAGGTGGGTAGCCTATAATGCTTCAAATGAGGGTCATCTTAGTAGCAGTATGAAACTTAGTATCATACCACAATTCTACCAATGATAAGTATTGAGACCATTTCCTAGGCATGTCACCAGTTACACACCTAAGGTAAGACTTCAACTGATTTATTTAAAGCTTCTGTTTGTCCATCCGTTTGTGGATGGAAAGCAGTCGATTTCAGTAGCTTTACCCCATGAGTTTTCATCAACTCAGTCCAAAATGTACTCAGGAAAATTGAATCCCTATCAGAAATTATTTCAGTAGGCCCACCCATGAAGTTTAATTACCTGATCCATAGAGACTTGTGCTACTTTAGCTGCACCAAATGGATGTCCTAATGCTAAGAAATGACCATATTTAGTTAGTCTATCTATGACTACTAAAATTACAGTCATACAATTAGATTTAGCCAATCTAATTATAAAATCCATGGATATAGAAGTTCATGCTTTTGCTGGAATAGGTAATGGTTGGAGCAGCTCTGCTGGCATTTGCTGCATAGGTTTGTTCTTCTAACAAATCTCGCATTCTAGCACCCACTACTTTACTTTTTTCTGCATTCATTTTCAATAAAATTGTTCTTTTATTCTCCTATAAGTCAACTCATTTCCAGAGTGTCCTCAATCACTGAGCTATGAAAATGCTGCATAATTTTCTTTCGGACTTCTGATGTGTTCCCCACTACCACTTTTCCTTTTCTTCTTAAAATGTCTCCATTAAAAGTATAGTGCTTATGAGGCTGCTAATGTAATCTGATTTTATCAACTATTTTCTTCAACTTGGTGTCTTGTTGCCAAGCTTCCTTTGCTTCTTGATTAGTTGTGAGATCACTAGCATAATTGTTGCTAAACTGCCTTGGTGATCATACCTGGATAGTGCATCTACCACAATATTTTCCTTCCCTTTTTTGTATTCAATGCTGAACTCTAACCCCATTAGTTTTTCCAGACCCTAATTCTGCATTAATGTGGTAGGTGGTTGTCCCAGCAGGTGTTTTAAGGCTTTCTGGTCAGTCTTTATAGTGGCCACTATGAGTTTAGAATGCTGTCTTATGTATGTCTGCCTCTGCCATTCGCACTTGATTATATTCGCTTCTTAAATCCAACTTGGAAAAGTAACTAGCACCCTTCAGCTCATCTAACAAATCCTCAATTAGTGGCACAAGAAACTTATTTTTAACTGTAAGTGCACTCAATTTTCGAAAATCAGTATAGCATCTCCAAGAGTCATTCTTTTTCTTCACCAAGACCAGAGGAGAAGCATAACAGCTAGCACTTTCTTTAATAAAGCCTGTGGCAATAGTTGCTTTACTTGTCTTTCAATTTCTTCCTTTTGATTATGTGGGTATCTATAAGGTTTCAAACATACCAGTGCCTCACTAGTCAGTTGTATTTTGTGATCATATCTCCTTTTTGGAGGCAGTTGTGTAGGTTCCTTAAACAATTGCTGATATTGCTGCAATAGGGCCTCCAATTTTGCTTGTTCTGCTATTGATAAATGACTTTGCTTGTCCCGTGTTGAATTGCTCCAGCAAGCAGAACCTTGTATTACCAAAAGCATTGTTTGCCCAGGAATAGCTTTTAATTTTCCTTGTGTTTCCAGTATGTCACTCAATTGCTGTTCTCCGTGTAATGTCACTGATTTACATTGGTGCTGGAATGACATTGTCAATTGTGCACAATTCCAGCATATTTCACCCAAGGTTTTCAACCATTGCATACCAAGGATAACACCAAAGTTGCTGCTTGGCAAGACCAAGAAATATGCTATGAATGTGTGGTCATTAAATTTCCATGGTACCTATGTGCAGTTTTTTGTGATGACTAATTTCTTGTCTGAATCTGAAGCCACCGTTATAGGAAAGTTCTTAATATGAGTTGTCTTTAACCCAAGCACCTTCACCCACTTTTCACATATAAAATTATGGGTACTATCTGTATCCATTAGAAAAAGAACCTCATGTTTCTTAATCAACTCTTTTAACTGTAAGGTATTTCCACCAGCAACTCCTTGCAAGGCATTCAAGGAGATATGAACACTTTCATCTTGAATTAATCTAATACTATTCTGTACAAGTTCATTTTCTACTTCATTCTCATTGTCAGAATCTGAGTCTATCTCAAAATTGCCTTGTGCTGCAAAAATAACACTTAATTTACTCCAAACCTTACATTTTTTGTTTATGATACCCATCCCACTTGTCACCACAGAAACGACATAGTCCTCTAGCTATTCTATCCCCTACTTCTTTTCTAGAAATAGCAGGTGTAGATGTTACCTTTGATTCTTCTACAGGTGAAGAATTTGTGAAAGATTGGGAATGACTTTGCTGCAGACTTGTGATAGGTGTACTACAAAAGTGCTATGTTGTGTTTGACCAAGCTTTTGAATATCGTATTGGGGGTTCAGGGTTTGCAGATCTTCCTATTGCAAATTTCTTTGTCATTTCTTGAAGAATTTTATCTTGCAACCTTGCTAAACAGACTGCTGCTTGAATTGATAAAGGTTTATGTACTCTGACAGATTTTTCTAACTCAAGTTTCAATCCAAAAAGAAAGAAACTCAGAGTTATCTCTTCTGATACAGTGACACGAGCCAGCAAATTGTCAAACACTTCTAGATATTCGATCAAGGGCCCTTCTTGTTTTAGTCGTGCTAATTCAGCCACAAGATCATCAAAAGCTCCATCATCAAAGTGATAACCCACATCCTGAAAGATTTGACTCCAAGATTTGTTCCTGAAATTTGTTGTCTACATGTAATGTCTCTGCCACGCGAACGCTTTTCCATCCATTGAAAGCAACAATAAATGGCCACGTTGATCCACCAAAGTGCCTTCCAAATCGAAGAATTTTTCAGCTTTGACTCTCCAGTCGCGGAAGATGGTTCCATTGAACGAAAGAAAGTTAATTTGAGCTCTGTCCAGAATTGAAGACGAAAATTCTGATGTCTCACTATGAATTTCCATCTCTGGCGCCCCTTTTTTCCGATGTTGAGCGCTGCAACTAAAGCGATGAGGCTATCCATGGATTTTCGTAACAACTCCAACGTTTTTTGCGTCGCTTCTTGAGAATTTGTGAACGTTTTCTCCAATGAATCCATGTGGGTCTCGAGTTCTTTGGTGGTCACCATCGTTACCAATACCTTCTGATATCAATTGTCAGAGAAGAAATTGGAAATCATTCCGAGACTCACTCACTCTCCAATTACATGAAAATAGGAAAGGAACACAATACTGAATTTCATTCATAATAATCAAATGATTACAGGAGGGTCTTTTTATAATCTCCAATCCCTTACAACTACTTTTCTGCTGTACGACTAACTCTCTTGACATGCTAATTAACTGTTAAAACAGTTATTTTCTATTCCTGCTTCCCTAATTTCAGAAATATTACAATTAAATCCTCTATTTTTATACTTATAACATGAAGGCACCTATAATACAATCATTATGGTATAAATCAATACCAGTCCCCATTTCATACTTTTCAGAAACTTTTTGGTAGTGTTTGGAAGACATGTTAGAATAGGATGGAGCATAGCATAAGTTATGTTCTGGGTTTGGAGTATTTTAAGAATAAAACAGAATGGATATTAGGTTAAAAAAGTATAACATATTAGAGGAACCAAAAGAGACAGAACAGAACCGTGTCATTCCATTCTGTCCATAAACCAAAGCTACCATTGTATGACAATGCTCATCCACTTTGTATTAGTCCCACAGCACAATCCAGAGGATGATTTTTAAGCACAACTATCATATAGAATCCCAGATCCATCCAATTTATCTAAGACAATTGGTTACACTGAAAATATGGACCACCCCCCTCGTCATATAAAAAAATTGAATGCCTCCCACCATTGACCTTTAATATATAAAGTACCAAAGACCAGAGGGATGCCCCACAGTTAAAAACCATCTAACAGGAAAATAGCAATGAAAATGAATTGATGATACTATTGCTGTTCTCTCTCAAGGAAAAGGCATTGGAAATCATAGTTTTGTGTTTCATGCTTTTAGGTTAGACTAAAATAAAAGATAGTTGAAAAAAAACAATGTCAAGAAGAAAGACTAAGTACTGAGTTTAATATTAATAATGCAAACATTGTACAGTGGAAAAATCATGATAGTATAGGCTTACATTTAGAGATGGATATCTGTGGAGTATCTGTGACTTTCGCCTGAGTGAAGCAGTACCAACAACATTTCCAGAGGGTAGATCAGCCAGTGAAGTTGCACTCAAGGATATAAATGCATCTCTAACATCCTCACGTGGAAGATTACATGGTAGAATTGTTTTATCAGGTAAGTAAGTAGGAACATCTTTCATTGAGTGGACAGCAATGTCAATGTCACAGTTTATGAGTGCCTCATCAATTTCTTTGGTGAACAAGCCCTTCCCACCGATGTCTGCAAGCGGTTGTGATAGTATATTGTCACCGGTTGTTTTTATTATTACAATCTGAATAGCCCCTTCTTCCGCTAGCTCTGGATGTGATGCAATGAGTTTGTCTCTGGTCTCGTATGCCTGAGTCAGAGCTAGTGGACTGCTCTAAACATAACAAGATTATAAATAAACCCAAATAAACATAGGAATCCATGACCATTTCTCAAAACAATAATGGAAGCATGCAGAATCAAGTAGCTAGTAATAATAGGATAAGAAATAAATATAAAAATTGCATCACAGAAGAAAACAAAGATGAAATTACTTTTCTGTCAAACAGTTTCACTTCAAGCTCTATCTAGAGTTTAAATGGGTATGAAGTTAACTTAAATCTACCAAGATAATTACAAGCATTTCATCCACTATTTCAAAGTATCCTCCTCAATTCAAAGTTCAAATTTTCTGTCCCCACTCATTTTCCTTCCTCCAAAACAAGCAACCAGCATACTGTAATCAAGGATCGTGTGACAATCTTGATGAACCGTATCTTATGTTTTGACAATCTCAAATTTATACCAAAGCATGGTAACTGTCTTCATTTCTGTCACAATTAATGGCAATAATAATACAAACATTTAAAATCCAAATAAAACATTTCAGGAGATTCTGAATTCAATATACTCAAATACACTTATTTAACATGCAGAAGCCCCTTTAAAGCAAATGCTTAATATTAAGCTAAAGTTGATTCATTTAAGGTGTTATGAAGAGAAAGTACCTTCCTCTGGTTCCAATTCTGAGGAGTGCAACCTTAGTTTGGTGAGTGTGTTGCTCAACGGCGAGAGAGGCTCTGATGCGACGTTTAGACAAAGATGGGAACGCCAACGCAGAGGTGAATGGAGAACAGAGAGTCTCCATTTCACACACACGACTAATACTCGTGTAGTATAAATAAGTTACTTTTAAAATATTAATTAAGAGATTATTTGAATATATTTATATTTTAATTCCTTATGGCATAAGACAATATATTTTCCTTAAAATTTTCTAAAAAAAAATTATGTCTTTTTTTTATTACATGAGAACAATTTTTAAATATTAAATATGAGATTTTTTTTAAAATTACAGAAATATGAAAGTTAATAGTATTTTTTGGTAAAAATTTATAAAAAAATGTTAATGAAATTTTTTAGAATTTTAAAAAATTTTATAATGTTTTAAAAATGTAAATTTCATTTTTTATATTTTTTATTTTTAATATTTAAAAAACATTTCATTTTTTGAATTTCCATACCTCCATAAAAAACTAATATAAATTTTATATTTTTTATAATTTATCTTTAATTTTTAGATTTTGGTTTTTTATATTTAAATTAATAATCCAAAAAATATTATATAATAATTTTCTAACTATTTTATGTAATAACTTTTAATATCTTTTTAAAAATTTTAACCTTTTTACTATGGTTATGCGACAGAAAAATTATATTTATTTTTTTTAATTTTTATTCGATGTTATGATAAGTTAAAAGTATAGATTCAAATTTTTTTTCTTAAAATAATATTTTTAAAGTACAAAAAAAAAATAAAACAGTATTACCTTAGTTGTGAGTAAAATAATATTATCTATATTGAAATAAATAAAATTATAAGATAAGTAAGAATACATAAATATTTTTAAAATACATAAATTAATTAATAATTGAAGTCTTAAATATGTTTTAACTACTTTTAAATAGGACTTATTTTAAATTAATATTTATCTAAAAAAATTATTTTAATACTTAACTATTTTTTTTTTTAATTTTATACTTAACATTAACTTCCGTCAGTTAAATAGTAACGTTACGTCACTTCAATTTTTTCATTATCTTATCTTTAAATTTTGTACGTTATGAATCTATATTAATATTTTATTTTTTAAAAAATAAAAAAATTAAAATTCAAGGGCGCAAAATCCATTCATATTATCTTTTTTTTAATGTTTTATAAAGCAAAAATATGTGACACAGGGAGACTACTTCCATTGATACCACTAGTTTCTTCTTACAAAACAACAAAAAACATATTCTAAAAATAAGATTATCATTGATGAAGGAAAAAGAAAACAATATTAATATAATAAATAAAATAAACTTAACACCAATAGTATATTTTTATCCATAATGACATGAAAAAATTAAGATTATGTTATTCATTAAAAAATTAGAAAAAAAAAGAATAATATTAAATCTTTTATATAGTTCTCTTTTTTCAGGTACGCCAAATTTCAATCTCATATTTATAGTGCTGACAAAGTTAGGATTTAAAACATTGAGTCTTAAGATTTAGAAAAGAAAAATTAGAGTTCATCATAACAAACAAGAAAAAAGTTCTAACTAACTATATACTGTTATCGTATTTAATATTACATATTATACAACAACATAGTATAAATTAACTTAACTGTCACACGTCACTTGTTAGTATTCCATTTCTGGTTTGTACTTAGAAACTAAAATAATGGAGAAAGATGGAAGTGAAAGACTCATTCCTAAGTCTAAAATGCTTAACTCATGGATGAAAATGAAGGTGTATTCTTCAAAACCCAATAACATTCGTTTCCTCTTTCAAAACTCTGACTATTGCATTCACTCTTCTCCTCACTGATAACAAATGCAATGGCTTAAGCAGAGATGATATTCTGTTGCTTTCTTTCAAGTACGCAGTGTTGAACGACCCTCTTTACGGGCTTGCAAATTGGAACTATACAACAAAACTCCTTGTTCGTGGGACATTGATATGTGTGGAGAAGCAACGAAGAATCTGTGTCCCATTCCTTCTTACCCAAAGCGTCTTCTCCTCTATGGAAGTTATAAGCTTCTTCTGTAAACTCTACCATCTAGGCGACTCTGCATGTTAGATACCTTACAAAGCCTTTGTGGCTTCAGCTAATGTTCTTATATAAGAAACTTTTTGTGGCTTTTCCTTTCCCCGTCTTATTTATGCTTTAGGTTGTATAACACTAGACTTGAATGACCAATCTATTCTAATTTTATATTCATTTTGATTTTAGAAAAATAGTGTATTTTTATGATGAGCTTGAGTTATAATTTAAGTTATCTTGTTAATTTTTATTTTATATTTTATATTTTATTAATTCTGTAATTTAGCTATAAATTATATTAAGATTTATATATTTTATTTATAAATTGGGTTAACTCAATCGTACTGTAATATTATAATTTTTTATTGGATAAGTTTCAATTTAGAAAAATAATTAAGCAGGGACGGAGATAAACTCGTCCCTTTAAGTTTGAATTTACGATATAAAATTTTTAAATCAAGCAAGAAACTTTTGTTTTACAAAAAAAAATATTTTCAAAATTATATTAAAATATTGTTTTGAAATAACTTATGGAATGTTCAGTAAGAGGATTTTAAAAGTTTTCCATAAATTTGAAATTAAAAATGTTATGAGTTTATTTTTTAATTATAAATTAATAATATAAAAATTATAGATTTTGGTGGAGACCGTAAATCTTAAAGTTATTCTCTTCGACCGGAATACTTTCTAAAACACACTTAAATTTTTTTTACAGAATACATATTCTTTGACTCAAATATAAAAATAATGCAAAAGTTAATATTCATTAATAACTCTTTTATATGTATAAAGAGAATTTTTTATATATGTAAATTTTTTTTAATAATAAACTCATTTTATTATGTTTAGATGTGCGATTTGAGTTAAATCTAAATTAAATTAAATAAAAAATAAATAAAAGAGATCAAAATTTTCAATTTAATACGGGTCAAACATAAAAATTCATAAAAAAAGATACAAATATCAAAATAATGCTATATAAATAATTTAAAATCAAAACACTAATTATAAAATTAAAATAATCAAATATGTAAAATAAAAAAAATGTATAAATTAAATTGAACCAAATTGATGATATAATCATAATCCAATCTACATCAGATTTATTTTTTAAACTAAAAACCAAAAAATCAAATATTTTTACAAAAATTAAGAGATAAAATTGTTTTAGAAATTAATTCAGCTCCAGCTAGAGTTCGTTTGATATGACTGTTAATTTTCAGTTTTAAAATGTTAAAAATTTAAAATCAATTTCTATGTTTATAACTTTTAGTTTCAAAGTTTTGTAATTTTTAATTTTAAAAATTACATTTTATATATAATTTGTGAGTACTAAATTTTAAATGAGATTATTTTAAAAAGTATTCTAAAATATAAACATTTTTACGGATTAGTTTTTTTTTTCATTTCAAAATTTTATTTTATTTTACATTATATATTTTATTTTTAAACTTAATAATAACATAATTTTTTATTATTTATTTTGAATCTTATTTAATTTAACGGAATATTTATTATTATTAATTATAATATTAATTTTTAAATTTTTATAAAATTTAATATATTTTAAATAGTTATATAATAAATTTTAAATTATTTAAAGAAGGAAATTAATTTAATTTAATGATATCCTTAACGTGCATGAGAAAACTATTTCTTTTAATTAATTTGTAATATTCTTGCGTGGTTGTTGTTGTGTTTTTAAGAGAAATAAAAATTGATTGCATGATTTGTTTTTGCAACTAAAATAAAAAATAAAAATTAGTTTTTAAAAGAAAAACTGAAGTAAGATTATTTTAAAATTAAGTTAAAATTGTTACTTTATTTTTATTGTGTTTTGTTTAAAAATCACATTTATAAACCAAAAATTGAAAACTTGCAACTGCAAACTCTCTATTCTTGTTTTGAAATTTGAGATAAAATTATTTCAAATTAAGTTTAAAAAAATTTAACTGTATTTAAGTTAAACAAATCTTGTCTTAAAATTTATATTTAAAATTTAATAACTAAAATTCAAATAAATAAATAAATCTAAACAAGTCCTTAATTTGTATAGGTAATAGTAATGATTAAAAATATATTTAAAAGAGAGTGTTTACTCTTTTCATTTGATTGAAATAAGTTTTTATGTATAACTTCTTAAAATAAATAATTTTTAATTTATGTAAATATCTAATTTTATCCAATTCTCTTTAAAAATAAATTTTAAAATTACAAAAATTAAATATAATAATTCAATTTTATAGGAGGTTAAAAAATAAATTTTAAATTTAAATTTTTAAATTTAAAATCAGATTTAGAAATGGTCAAAGTAATTTGTAAATTTTAAAGAGAGTGGATAAGGTAGAAAAAAGTAGTAATCAGAAAATAAAAGGTCATGAGATGTTGGAGCCTTTATTAAGGTAAAAATAAATAAATAAATAATTATATATTAAATGGGATCTATAGTTTCAAAAAAATACTTATAAATAGAAAGCTTAGGTCCTCAAAGAAAGGAACAACTTTTTTTTATGAAACAAAAGGAGAGAGAACTGACATCTTTTGGAGAGCATGAGAAAATTGAGAGTGTAAGAAATGAAAAGAGAGAATTGAGAGAATTTAAAAGTTAAAAAAAGGAACGAGAATTCAAAAAAGAGAGCACGACGAGACAAAGAGGAGAGAAAAGAAAGTCACAAAGAAATAAATATTCAGAAAGCACTTAGGATATTCAAAGCTCATAGAATCAATAATATGTTAGGGGTTGATGGAAAGAACTCCAATAAAAGAATCTTAAGCCACCATGAGAGAGCCGACAAAACAAATAAGAACTTATTTTATCTTTTTTTAATTCTTTTTCTTTGCGTGCTTTTTTTCTTTTTTTCTCTTCTTCTTGCCTTCTTGATTCTCACTCGTCCCAAAATTAAAAAAAAATCTAATTTCATGAAACCTTAAAAACTATTTTCCTTTTGTTCCTTTTCTTTTAATAAAAATTTAATTTTATTAATCACTAAAAAATTTAATTTTATTAAACCCTAAAAAACCCAAATTCGTAAAAAATCTTCCCTTCTTTTTGTCCCAAAAATCATAAGGTTT